TGTCAAACCAAGAAGGACCCTGAAATATTGGAAGAGTGGAGCAAGAAAGATTTTCCTCTATGTTGGATGATTCAAAAGTATGCTTCCTGGAGGCATGATAGGCTAATTGATGGCACATTCTTGTGGTATCAAGATGGCTATTCTGAGTGACTTGAAGCCACAAGAGTTGATTATGGAATGCATCTTGCATTTCAACATTTTGCTTGCTTCATGGGAGGCAACCCATGTTCTTTTCCTTTTAGTTTGTTTTTGTGTGATTTTACTTTTTTCTTGTTTAATGTGTGTGCTTCCATGTGCAGAAGAAGTATCAATGCCATCTCAATTCAATTGGTAATCCAAAAATGCAGCAGATTCTGATATCAGTCACTTTGGAGAGTGAGATTAGTCACTCTCCCGAGCGTACCTGCAACAAACTGAGTTGCTGTGACTGGTTTGCTTTCGATTTTTTTTAGTCTGCATAGGATCTGTGCTTTATTTTAAGTTTGGGGGAATTGATGTATACTCTGTTCATGTATAATTGTTGTTAGTTTATTTTGTTTTTAAAACAAAACATGGGAATTTTGAAAACTAAAGCTGTTGACTTTGAAATTTTGTGTGTATTGCTAAAAGTTCTAAGACACTCTGGGAAGTGACTCATGTCACTCGGCAAAGTGACTCTGAACCTACTTGATGTTTGAAGTCTATTTATTTCTTTTACCCACCCATACATTTTGTTTTACCTTTCTGTTTTGTTTCTTTTTTAGGTTCTTGAGACATCTTTTGTATGTCATATCCCTTAGTAGCTTGTTAATTCTGAAATTTGGTGTACTTAATGTGTACTTGCTAGGCTTTAGTCTGGGGTAAACTTCTAATATCTTTATGAGCATTGATGCCATATCTAGCAAGTCTAGGGAGAATTTTCAGAATTTAGCATGTCCGATTGCATATGAGTCACCTAGTTCTTTCTGAGCATTATTGTTAAAAAGCTAAATCTATTTATGGAACTATAGTGTTTCTGGTTTGTTGTTTTCTATTGTCTCTGTGATTAACTGTATGAACCAAGGAATTTCATGAGCTTAATTTTTGATATCTTTACTCTGTGTTTCAATTCTAATCCTTGGTATTTGAGAAAACTAAATTTGCAGCTAAAGAAGGACTGTAGAGTCACTCCCATGAGTGACCAAAGTCATTCCAATGAGTGACACTGCAGAAAAATAAAAATTCTTAACCCTTATAGCTATTGAATCTTTTTTGTGTTCTGATGTTGCAATTCCACGCTGTTGTACAAGGATGTCGCGATCCCTTGTATGGAGTATATTTCAACACAACATGAAGATTGCAATAAATCGAACAGATATGTTGAATGATGTGCATCATGAAGCCCTCCTCATCCATTTCAATTGCTCCAACTCAGGGAAGTCATCAGTCCTCTTCCTCACTCACAGGAATGAGAATATCACTCCTGCGAGTGACCACACAGTTTTTGTTGTGAATTGTTTTTGTTTCGGTGAACTGTTTTTGTTGTTATTTTTGTTTTTGTATGATCTGTTTGTCAGCATTGGAGACAATGCTTTGAATAAGTTTGGGGGAGTAGAAGGGAGCATGTTTATAATTTTTATTTTTTTTTTTGATTTTTTGTGAATGCTAGTTCTATGATAATTGGATATCTATGAAGACCAATGTACTTAATTTCTTATATCTAATTCAAATTTTGATTTTACCTAACTCTTGGTTATCATCTCTACACTACTTAAGCACACATGCCTTTTATGCTTAGTTACATTGAAGTTGAGTTTTATAACATGCTCTGTGGTGTTCTAAATTGGTTAAAGATGTTTAAATGACTTTTCTTACTACCACTTGAATGCGAAGTGTGGTTTATTTACATGCTAAAGAGTTGACTAAGGCAAGCTTAATGACCCTCTCTAATACCTTCTTTGGGAATTGGTAGGCGGAATGCTCAAAAATGAGTAAATAAAAAAGTTCAAAAGAACTTGAGGGAGTATAAGGTAGAGCATCAATGCTAAATCCCTTAGAGTGAAATGGCAACAATGAGTGATCCTTTGGCCTGGAAAGCAAAGTCTCCTATCGAAAGCTCTCGGTTGGAGGGGTCGGAAGTTGGAAAGAAAAAGAATCATGAGTCATAAATAGAAAAAGCCAAAAGACTCGGAGGTAAATAAAAGGGAATGAGGGAGAATGGTTGAAAAGAAATGAATTGTGAGAGTCCTTATATCTCTGAGGTTGTATTGGCCACATTAGCATGATTGTGGTAAGAAAGAATGAGTCATAAGGCTAAGAAATCTCTAAATATGCACCATGAGCTGTTATTTACCTTATACTAATTTGTTACTTTGCATACTTGGCATGATTCACACACACACGGAGGTGATTTCGTAAAGACTAGGTGAAATTCGAATTTGGATGAAGATATACATATTTTTCTTGCGTCTGAGATGTTGTATCCGATTGTCATATGAACTAGTTATGTTTGGTAGTTGCTGTGAAGTTCTTGTGTGTTTGTTACAGTGTCACTTGCCTGAGAGACTTTTGTCACTCAGGGGAGTCAGTGGTTAGCTATTGTTTTCTTGTTTCTATGAGTAGTTTTTAAGGGGTTAGATTGTTTTGCTTGAGGACAAGCAATTCTTCCAGTTTGGGGGAGCTGATAACGGTCAAATTGTTACATAAAAGTATCACAATTAACTCTGTATTTAGTAGGAAATTGGGGGGTATTTCCTAGCATTAGTGCATTTTACTTAACTCGTCTTTGTGTTTTTGTTAGGTAAGGGCTGGATTGAATAATTGCTGAAAATTGGAGGCCAAGGGAATAATTTATGGGCTGCTGAGGTAATGTTGCTGAGCTGGACGACGAAGCAGCCCCTTAGACAAGAAGCATCTTGTCATTAATGACTATGTCTCCTCAAAGAGGCATGCTTGTCCCCCAGCTGCAATCTCAGCCACCTCTACTGATCAATGAGAGTAATGCTGCCACTGCTAGAAGAAGAAAAGAAGAACAGCCAAGTTGGATTGCAGGCTCAAGACATTGGGAGGATTAAACAACTACAAGCATGGGGAGGCTATCTTGGAAGAAGAACCGGCTTCAAAGCTCTATAAAAGGAGCTGCATTCCCAGTATGAAGATAGATCTGAGTGGACATACAACACACAAAACACAACAAAGAGAGAAGAAGAGAGTAGAGAGGGGAGAAAACTCCAAAGGAAGAAGAAGTCCAGTAGCAGAAAAAGAGGAGTAACAGACCTCACTCGCCTGAGTGACCTTTGTCACTCAGGCGAGTGACCTGTTGCTCAGCCATCCAGATTTGCTTCTTCTCAATGCTTTACTTCTTTTCTTGTATTTTCTGTAGTTTGTATGTGTAGTTAATTAGATTTCATTCTCTGGAACCTATGTAGTTTAAGTTTGTGAATGCATTCGGATGATTTTGTGTTTTGAAGTTAAAGCTTTCATCTACCTCTTGATTAAATTGGCCATTTGATTGATTGTGCACAGAACTAAGTGAATCCCGAAAGGGTAAACAAGGTTCAGAATCATTTAGCTTCAACTTATGACTTGGAGGTAACAGTCCAAGGTTCTAATTGAGATAGGAATATACTTGGTTAGCATAAGCATTCATATAAGGCTTGAAAACTTAATGACTTTATGACTTGATTAATCATTGGAAAATAGTTTAATTGAGTTCATAAAGATACCTCTAGGAAAAATCGGAAGTGATTTAGAGATATATAAGTGCCTGAATGAGCATGAATTCATACCAAAAGAGTGCAATATCACAACTTGATTACATAGGGAAAAGAGAATGAATATCCAGCTTGTTGAGTCAGTCTCTTGAGTCGGAATTCTCACTCCCGTGAGTGAGGTTCCATTTGTCTTTCTTTGTCTTTAGTTCTGCAGAGTCACTTGCCTAAGTGACTTTACCCACTCGTGCAAGTGAGTGACACTCTGCAACTTTCTTTCTTGTTCGTCCAATTTCGTGTTCTGGTTATTTGAAGTTTAATCCGTCCCTGTGGGATCGACCTGACTTATCCTATCTACAGTTTAAGTTGGTAAATTATTTTGGGGGCTTCGACAACCCACCATGCATCTCCAAAAGGGAAAAAAAAGAAAAGGATTGGCGAGTTTGGCCATTTTTGCCTGGGTAATTTACTAATTTACTAAGTGGTTTTAGGAGAAATTCTTTGTTCTTCCATTAAGAACTAGAAAAACCAATCAATAACCAGCAATGGTTGACACAGAAGGAGTGAATGGCTATATATTGATTGGGTAGATTGCATAAAATAGTCGATTAGGTGCGAGTGAGCGAATAGTAAAACTGGAAATAAATATTTGGGCTAATGAAGGAGGGGAATGAGTTATACACTTTGACTGACTTTTCTTATCTTTGAAAAACTAAATTAAATTCCTTTTGGGGAATTACTTCTTTCGAGACCAAATTAAACATAATCAAAACTGAAAATTGTAAAATTTATGGGCAATTTTTCCATTGTGCAAGCACCCGTTTGCACATGCCCCTGGTCTGGCCGTGACAAACTGTATATATATTAGGAAATGATTTGGGTCATGGTCATTGTTAAAAATTTTCCCTATTATTTCCCAGAGTAGAGGCTTTATCTAAAGTTTGGTATCATGAATGTAATACTGACAACACATCTTGGCAGTAGAGAAGAAGCCAAAAGTATCATTAATCGAAGCTTCAAATTGGCAAGTAGCTATAATATATATAATTAACTGCTATATACAAAACCATCTCACGCACCGCATACATAAATTGGATCAGTGGTCACAAATGAATTGACCATCTGCAACTCAAACTTTTATGTCACAACTCAATTTGACATGAAAGGAAAATATGGGAACATTCTTTCTGTCCCAAAAAAATAGTCAAGTTTGATTTTGAAGATTTGTACTAGTTTTAATACAAATTTGAAAATTTAATTTGGACTATTTTTCAAGACAGAAGGAGTAGTATTTAACAAAAGCGCTGGTGCAATTTTCTTTTCCTTTTTTGTGCACATAGCAAGGATTGCTGAGTTTATTTGGCAAACGCTCACACGGTTTTTGTTTATTCGGATCAGTGGGACTCCACTAAAAGCTCAATCAAACAACCTGAAGAGTAGTACTTGCAGTTGATGTGAAGTTGAAGTTGGAACAAGTAGTTTGGCGGTATATCAAAGTCTCGCTGAAACCAAGCCTGGATCTTGCTATATCAAACTCAAGAAGGTTATCTTCAAACTGGTGTGCCCCAATCACAATAGATGTTCTTGGATTCAAACCACCGTCCAAAACACCAAGGCATATAACATTTTTCTTGACTTCCACCATCAAATTTGCGCCAAATAGCGTCCAGGACACCGTTTCGTCCTGGAAAACAATGTCAACACCCGGAATCGGTGGACCGACACGAGTAACTGGCAAGTTAGTGGAGTCAAAACAGAATTCGAAAGGCGCGACCGATGCCAATCTAGGAGCCCCAGGATACACGGCCATCGCTTTCGTGAATGCATTCGTAAAGGCCCGGTAGATTGATGTTTCCATGACTGTGTAACCATCAACGGTGCTGATCTTTGTCCCGCCATTGCCTTGGCTATCGATTTGCAACAACGCCGGATTTATCGGCACGGCTTCCCGGCTAACCTTAATCGCAGTCACCCCGACAAAGTACTCCACGGATTTTTCGCCTTCGAAAGAAGAGCTGGCGGTACTAACCGGGTTGATGAAAAGCGGGGTATAGTGAAGGTTTTGCGACACGTCAACTCCGGTGGGTTGGAAAATGTACGGACCTTCTCCGATGAATAGTACACCTTTCGAGGATGATCCCAAACAGAGAGCGAATCTTCTCGAAAAGCTGAAGGCGCTCGCAAATTGGGAAGGAAGCCCGACGGGATCCCTCCCGAGTCCGGCCATTCCCGATACCCCATTCGCAAGGCCTTCCAGAAGAAACGTTGACCCGCAAGTGAAGACCAGCCTCGGCGCGGTAACGGTATCGCCGGGATTCTTACCGTCCGTTGATTCGACAGCGACCACGTCGGTTGCCAGCTCACCGCTGGTGCTGGTTTTGGTTACCGAGTTGTCAGGTAACAGAGAACACGTGTCGTTGTTACATCCGGGTTTAGGCCCGTCAAAACAATCGCCGCAGGATCTCGAGTTGGCGAGGTTGCACAGAGCAGAGCGGCACCTGGCCGGCCTATAAGTCGAGCTAACGTAATTTCTGTCACAGTCTACCCACAAGGATCGGCCGCCGAGGTCAACGGTTAGTTTGAGTGGGACAAGAGGGGTTCTTTGGCGGATTTCGGTGATGTGTTGACCAGTAGATGGGTCTTTGGTCAACGGAAGGACAAGGGATTTTGGTCTGGAAGCCTTGGATGTTATGAATTGGCCATGAATGTTAGCGGAGCAACTGGATAATACTACTATTACGAAGAGGATTTGAGGAAACAATGTAGAAAAGGATCCCATTGCAAAGTAATGGTTGGTTTTGGGTGAAGAAATGGTGGGTTTTGCAGCTTGATTTATATAAGCGCTCCGCAGTGATGTAAGTTGCCTTTGTCCAAAATTAAATATTCAAACTGGTACACCTTTATTATTGTCCGTTCCTTGAACCTTTAGTTTATACTCCTCGGGTCTTAATTATAGTGCACATCAATAAATGCTAAATTAGTTAAAATATGTGTCTGATACATAATTATTAGAACAGGAGGGAATATATGTATCTACATTTCCAGGGAAGATGTGAAAAGAAGAAAATCAAGACAGTGAATTTCGGACAAGATGTAGATGTCTTTCTTTGATTATGGCCGCAATGAACTTCGATTCAAATTATTCAGTGACCTCTTGACTTATAACTTCGGATATGTTAGAAAGTTTTCAGGAAGTGTTTGGTTTTTGCAAATGAAGAAATCGTTACATATCTTTCTAGCCAGCACAACCGGTAATTTTAGTCTTATTTGATATAGTTTCAATATTATTTAGTATAATAATGATGATAATAAACTCTAATGATTTATTGTAAGACACAATTTGGAGATAATTAAGTTCAATTTTAAATTTATTTATAAATAGGACGTGAAAAAATAATCTCTTGTTTTTTAATTATATAGTTCCAACAAAACTAGCTGGCAAGCATCACATAAACGTAAAACTTTAAAATTAGTAGTGGTTGATTGATAACAAATACATAAACTAAAAAGGGAAATTTCTTAATAAGGGCATTAGAATCATAATAATTATTAAAAAGATTATCAGTTTTATTTATTCTTCATCATAAATTTTAAATGCATTTTAGAACTTTTCTCATCTACGAAATGGCACTTTATCCTTTCCCTCAACCAACAACATGAGCCTCGCTCCTCTCGCATCCAAATTTTTTGGTCTCTTTCCTGAAGAATATTTTCTTTCTACCCATTACTCCAGTACTTCTGAATCCCTTACACAGTACATGAAAAAGTGCAAACATGATGAATTCATTGTTGTACATAGCAAAAGGCATGTGAGTGTATGTACTTATCGCAAAACTTTCGATCTTGCCATCAGCACAAACATGTTAAAAGGACTTGCAAAATTTCATGTTTCTGGTAGTGATTGGATTAGATAAAGAACACGCCTTTTGAAAATTCGATCAAGAATGACCCTAAAGAAAATCGGGAAAATGAAAAATAATTATTTGATGGGAAACAAATGCAAAATTGGTATGGATGATGATGATAAGAGTGGTCGGGTCCCAAGCAATCTATCTGAATTTTAGTTTTGTTGTTCTTTTCCTAATTTTGCAGAAAATCAGTAATTCTTATCATTCATTTTCTATGGGGAGAGAGATCATATTGCGGGGAGTTAGGAACAGGGTGAATGACAAGAAACGAGAGCTAATGAGGTCTTTTGATAAAAGAAAACTAACTAATAACATTTCATAAAGGAAAAATAAAACACATGCCCTTCATAATAATTATGATCTTTTTCATGCCCTTAATAAAAATTCTCCCAACTAAAAAGGGTGCATGTATACTTTGTAGGATAATGTAGGATTTTTTTTTAAAAAAAAAAAAAATAGGAACAATTACAAATTTATTTGTTATAAAGAAGGAAGCTGGGGGATGCTGCCGGTAGTGTATCGATGCCTTCGCATTTGTCCTGTCATTTGTGCTTTTTTTATGGAAAAAACAAAAAACTGATACTCAACAAACGAACAGATAAAATTGTATAAATTATTGTAATCATAGATATTATTCATCTCATGAAGCTTTTGGCTGTTTGTCTGTCCATCACGTGGAGAAATTAACGAAAAGCCGCCATTACTTAGTCTTTGTGGGTTGTAGAATTATTAAACAATTTCAAATGTTAGTTACATAGTCGTCTACTCTTCGTAGTAAAATGTTAGTTAGAGTTCTGTACTTAAAATTATTCGCTATGTAAAATAATTCGCTCTGTATGTTTCTAGTCTTTTCATATGTCACATTTTATAAACTAAAGACTCTTCTAGATTTTTATAATTATACTCATAAATTCAAATTTATGATTTCCCTCGATTAATCACTTCATATGATACATACTGAAACCACGTAAATACAATTTTTTTATCATTCCACCTTTTAAAGTTCTACATACTCGTTTATTTTAAAATACGCCATTAGAGGCATTTCATCAATATTAAAGAGAATTAAATAAATTTTAGTATATGTTATGTTATATTTTGTAATATTTTTGTGTTACATTCGATCTAAAAATACTTAAATAATTGATAGGCACCATCATCTTTAAGTGTAACACCTTAACAAAATTATAAGTTAATCCATTTAAATAATTAATTAGACCTGTGCCAATTATCTAATTAGTATCACACATAGTATATCACAAAATATTACAAAATATATTTTTATTACAAGCGGTTCCATATTCAATGTCGTTTGTGTTTTTAATGGAATAGTATAAGGGGGAAAATGTAAAGAAACAAATCTCAATTGTTTTAAAAATATATATATATATATATATATATTCTTTTGGTTTATTTTCTTTTAACGTATCTATTTTAAAATGGAGCCGGGTCAAACAAAGGCATACAACTCAAATTAGTCAAGGAAATCCATGTATTAAATACTTCTTATTTTTTTCTTTTTGTAAGGTGAAAAAGGTTAAATTTCATTTCATCTCAAATCACAAAACTTGAATCTAATGTCTTGATGCATTTTTCCAATTTGATTCAAACTTCACTATATCTCGGAGGTACAGACATTGAAGAATATATTCATTAGCATATTCGTAATGACTGAACTCAGAAAAAGGCTTCTTGTTCAATTACGTTTTTAATAATCTCTGTGGCTTTCGTCCACTCCCAAGAGTCAAGACTTATACCATCGCATTAGTTAATCTCTTTTTGATAATGAGAAGCCCCATTAAGGATATAATAATAGGCAGGTTAGTTACTTTATTGATATTTTGCATAGACACAAAACTTAAAAGTTTCTTTAAACCTGTTAAAACACTAACAAAGATGAACTTATTGCAGGGCATTGAATGATAGTCTAGTGGTTAAGTTTGTTATCTTTCTTGGTGATAGACTAGGATGCGATTTCCATCAAAGGGTTTGTAAGGAAGGTTTTAAGATTTACTGGGGAGAATTTTTTATATTTTTTTTTATAGAAAAAATGAACTTGTCACAATCATTATGTTAAAACACTGTACTAAGTTTTGATTACCGGTTCGAAAGCCCAACTCTGAAAATAAAACTTTCATATTGGGACGGAATATATCTGGACGGGAGCAATTATTCCTAGTTCTAGCTAGTAGTGTGCTTTGCATCTTCATCGATCCTATATGAAACTGTTTTAAAATTATTCTTGGATCAAGCCTCGAAAAAGTTTATTCCCGCTGTACCACTTTTGTCCCTAATCACTTAAATAGTTTACTGCCCTTCAATCATCGCTATTAGAAATTAATTTATGATTGTTCAAAGTACGTTTAGTTTTTCTAAAATTTTCTCTTGTAAAATAAACTATATACAAAGCTTGCTAAGTGCTAGCTGTGTACAGTTTTTTTTTTTTTTTAACTCAACACGAAGGCAAGGATGACATTCAGGTTCCAACTATCTCAAAAAAACTCGAGGGGTCTACCTAAGAGATAAATTTTTGAGATAGGCAGTGCTATATAGTACTATGCACCCAAGGGATCTACCCAAGGGAAGGACATTTATACTATATAGTTCCCTAGTTTCACCCTTCCCTAATTTTATTAATATGTGGAAAAAAGAGGGCAGTGTTTATGTCTCACCCTTGTACAAGGCCATAGAAACTAATTTCGTAAATATGGAAAGGACAATTGATCTAATATCAAAAGCCCCTTTACAAAACTACACAGTGATATAAAACTATTGTAAGTATTAGATATTCCACTTGATGCTTGTTTAGCTAAGCAGTCTGCAACAGCATTGCCTTCCCTGTAAATATGAGAGACCAAGTAATTATTCCTTAAGATGACAGAATACATCTCAATCAATTTCAAATAAAATCGCCATGGAAATCCTCTCTTCTCATTCAGAATATAAGACAAAGAATGATTATCAGTTTGTACCCTAACATTTGAAAGTTGTAGGAACTCACACCTGCGAAGTCCAAAAAAAATACCAAAAATTTCTGCTCGGAAAAAACATTAAAAAAATAAATTAGAACACAACAGTAATGTGGTTTGCTTAGAAGCAGAAAAAATCTAATATACAGAATACCATAAATACACCATAAATGTATACACCATAGATTTCTAAAATAAATATTTAGCCAAAATTCAAAACATAATCGAAAAATTTTTACCTTCACTTAAATTCTCTAATATCATTATGAATTTCAGCCGGATGTTTGGCCAACCAATCACCAATTGTGGTTGTTAGCCCGAGGCAACACCAACAAGATGCTCTCAGCGGTTAAATAACGTTTATAAGTGCAGTAAACTAAGTGTATGTTGATAACTTGCATTGTTGCTTAAAATTATTGGTTTAAGTGATCTTTTAAAATATGTTTGATAATCAAAAAGTGCTCCACTTATTTGATTAACTACTGCTAAAATCGTGATACAGATTTTAAACAATAAAATATAGTTTAATGCTTATTCTTAATTACTCTCATCCATTTTTTTTTTTTTTTGACAACGCCAGGAATTCTACCAGAAATGGGTAAACTTATGCCCACTGCAATAGCCTGTAAAACACAGTGAAAGGTGAACAACCCTAGATAAACTCGGTGTGACAAGTTCGGGCGCGAAATCGAGGGTTATGAGAGGGTTTGCTATAACAAACTATCTAGAGGTGCCAATTGGTAAGATTAGAGCCATCAACAATAGTGAGAAAGAAACGTGCTCCAGAATGAGAGGGTGTGTGATAAGGGCCTCAGATGTCACACTGAATCAAATCAAAAGCATTCAAAGTATTATTCTGATGAAGAGGAAATGGCAAACGTGTCTGTTTAGCTCGACAACAAGCATCACAAGG